TGCATGAGAGAAAGGAAATTCAGTAATCATGTGATATCCGGAAAGGTATGTCACAGAAAAATCTTACAATATGGTTTCCCAGTGCACCAAGGCCTTTTATGACTGACCCCAAAATTGACACATAGGAAGTGATAAATAAGAAAGTTCTGACAGAGATTTTTCAATAAGAACTTTCAGGAAATAGTTGTTAGATTTCTCTCCTTTATTCATTTGAGAGCCATTGATTAACCCCAGGGATGCTACCGAGGTGAAAAGGTGAGACCACCCTTTGCAGGAGGTTGGGGCTACTGAAGGAGGCACCCACGGAGCCAGCGTGTGCACCCCAGTGTGGGGAGAGCTGGGCCCCAGGAGCACCGTCCCATGCTGAGGGAGGAAGACTTCCTGCAGGAGGTGACGCCCAAATGAGTCCTAAAGTTAAGTAAGTGTTCCTGGGGAAAATAAATCTGCATGGGGGGTGGCAGGAAAGATAGAGGGAGGAGCAGAGTTTGCCAAGAGAACTTGAAGTGTGGTAGAAAACTGAGGAAGGATGGAGAGGAGCACAAAGGGGCCAGGCCACTGCAGTATAGAGGAGCCAGGTCATGAAGGCCCAGTGTTGAGTCTAGAGCACCCCAAAAGCTATGGGGAGCTGAGGAAGGCTGTCCAAGGGGGAGCAATGTGAGAATAGTTGTAGTTTGCAAAGATCTCTAACATTCCTTTCCTTGGGTAAGCTCTCTGACCCTCCTGCTATAACACTATGATTCAAGGAACAAGTACAATTCTAAAATAATAACAATAACTTGTCTGAGTCTAGACTCACAGGACCTGAACCTGAAAGTAACCCTTGCTGTCACTTGGGAAGCTAACTGGGCTCACCAAATATTCATGCCTGATACTGTCCTATTGGGACATGCTCAGTGGACATGCCTAAGTTGAGAAAAGAGACACATACTTGCTATGGTCTAAATGTTTATGTCCCCCTAAAATTCATATGTTAAAACTGAATGCCCAGCCGGGTGCGGTGGCTCATGCCTGTAATCCTAGCTCTCTGGGAGGCTGAGGCAGGCGGATTGCTCAAGGTCAGGAGTTCAAAACCAGCCTGAGCAAGACCCCGTCTCTACTATAAATAGAAAGAAATTAATTGGCCAACTGATTTATATATGTAAAAAATTAGCCGGGCATGGTGGCGCATGCCTGTAGTCCCAGCTACTCGGGAGGCTGAGGCAGTAGGATCGCTTGAGCCCAGGAGTTTGAGGTTGCTGTGAGCTAGGCTGACGCCACGGCACTCACTCTAGCCTGGGCAACAAAGTGAGACTCTGTCTCAAAAAAAAAAAAATAAAAAAAAAAACTGAATGGCATTAGTGCCTTTGTAAAAGGGACACCAGAAGGCTCTCACACCTCTTCTACCATACGAGGACAAAACAACAAGGTGCCATCTCTGAACAAGGAAATGGGTCCTCACCAGACACCAACTCTGCAGACACCTTGATCTTGGACTTTCCAGCCTCCAAAACTGTGAGAAACGTATTTCTGTTGTTAGTAAGCCCCCAGTCTGTGGTATTCTGTTATAGCAGCACGAACAGACGACAATAGTACTATTTATTTTGGATACCAACTCAAGCAGAAGCCAATAGCAAGGACTAGAGCTGAGAAGAGATCAAGCAAGACTCATGGTTTGGGATGGGACTCAGGGGTAACATGGCATCAGCTAGCTAGATAGCTGCAGAGATAGGGGACCCAACAGGTGCCCACACTCATCCCTCCCACCCCCATCAGCTGCTTCCTCCAAGGAAATTTTCTTCATATTTGAACATTATCTGCAGAGCCCGGGGGTTTCCAGGGGATGGGGTCTGGGTTGCACTCCCAGTAGGTCCTGGCGTAATTAAGCAGCCCCTGCACCATTCCTCGCTCCCCTCCTCACACACTGGCAACCTCATGCATCTTTTTACACAGAGTGAGGTGAGGAAGCAGATACCTGTCAGGGATCGAATCTAGCCCGTTCACAATTATCTCCTCAGCACCTGGTACGGCAGCAAGCACGTGGCGGGTACTCAAGAAATATTTGTGAAACGGATGAACAGATTTATCAGTCAATTGGTCCTTTGCATATATTAGAATAAATAATAGATTAATAGATAATAGAATATTAGAATAAATAGAATAGAATAACAGATAAATAGAATATAAATAGAATAATAGAATAAATACATAACATGTTTATCATGTGTTCCAAGCATTTTACAAATATTTGATCCTTTTTTATCCTCAAAACAATATTATAAGAGATGTGCTAATATTCTCCCCCTTTTACAGATGAGAAAAATTAGGCACAGAGGGGTTATGTGACTTGCTCAAGGTCACACAGCTAAAAGCCTAGGCTCTGTCTCAACAACAACAACAACAAATTTGTTAAATGAATAAATTCTACCATTTCCAGTTCCTTTAAGATCCCATTATTTTGCCCATTTGTGGTAGCTGTAGGTTTGAGTTGTTAGTAGGGTGGCATTACTAAATTTGTTCGACTTCTAGGTATGACTGCAGTCCAAACCACGGGAAGAAGGCAGTGAGGCTCAGGTGAGAGAAAACCTTAAAATCCTCCAGTCTCATTACTCTTAGAATAAAACCCAAATGCCCAGCCTCGGCTCATGAAATGAGGCCCCCTATATTGCCTCTGTCTGCATCTTGTGCTACTGTGCCCCCAGGTCACTAAGGTCTCTGTCACATTGACCAGCTTTCTGCTCTTCAGCCAAGCCAAGTGTGCTCCCCCTCATGGGCTACGCACCTGCTGTTCCCTCTGCCAGGAATACTGTGGGCTTTCTCCTGCTGGACAACTTCTCACCATTCAGGTCTCCGCTCAAATGTCACCCTTCCAGGAGGCCTTCCCTGAGCACCCAACCTAAAGAACTACACCCCAGCCCCAGCCCTAGCCCTGCTTCTGTCTGACCTGTCGTGCTCTCTCTAGCCCACCAACCTGCTCTATTTTCTTTACAGCACTTACCACTAATGGACATACTCATTTCTGTTGGCTTGTTTCTTTATTTCTTTCCTCTTCTCATGTGAGAATATAAGATCCATGAGCTCCCTCAGGGATGTTGGAAGTATACAGAAGGTGTGAAGTTCATATTTGTTGAATAACAAATGATTCAACAAATGGCTAATCTCTGTCAAACAACGGACATCACCGGATCAGATGAGGAGAGGAGTGTCAGACCTCCACGCGCCCACACCTCCCTGCCAGGATCACGCACAATAAGGGGGCTCAGACTCCTGGAGCTACTGTATCAAACACTCACTGATAACATTCAGCTGCCCCAAAGACAGGGACCCCTTGCAAATCTGAAACATGAAACTGGAAGCTTTGGGCATGAGGAAGATAACTGGGAAATCAAACCCAAGAGAGGGTGTAGCAGCACCAAGGATGTTGGCAATCTGCAGAGTGACTTCCAAGGGACCTGGGGAAAAGCGTTGGTGCCACCTCTCCGTACCAACAGGGAGGGTCTCCTGTTGTTGCTATTCCAGTTTTATACACTGATGTGCAGCATCAGATTTCACATGAAAAAAAATACTCTTCTGATTTAAAAACATAGTTCAGAAACCACTTCTTTAGAAAATGTCTCTTATTATGTACAGATTTTAAAAAATATTTTTTACTTAGATCTTTCTCAATATTCAGAATAAATTTTTTTTTATTTCAGCATATTATGGGGGTACAAATGTTAAGGTTACGTATATTGCCCATGCCTCCCAGCCCCCAAGTCAGAGCTTCAAGCATGACCATCCCCCAAATGTTGCACAACTCATTCATTGTGTTTGTATATACCCATCCCCTTCAGAATAAAATTTTAAATGTTGTCCTTCCCAGGTAGAAATTTGCAAACTTTAGGGCCAAGTGCCCTGCCCACACCAGCCGGGAGGCCCAGGGAGTTGAACACATTTCCCCCACTGTCCCCCACTCCCTCCTTGCCAGATGGCCGGTAGGGGCTCATTGCCTGCTCCAGGCAAAACACATTAGAAATGCAGGGTGCTCGAACATGCTACTGACGTGGGTAATTTTTTTTTTTCCTGCAGGAAGAGAAACTGGGAAAATAATTGCCCTGGAAATAACTCAATCAATGGGCATCCTACGCCCAAACCGCACCAGGTGCCCACGCCTGCTCGGTATAAGGTAATGGCAGGCTTGCTAGCAGCTAATCATGCACACAGCAGCTCAGGAGGTTTGGGTAAAAATGTCTCTTCGTAGCCACTGTAATGATTTGGAATGTTGTGCTGAAAATAAACACCTTCCTCTCATTTGCACTTCATGCCTTTAAGCTCCCAAAGTGCCACTGGGTGGAGAGTGGCAGGGATTTTGCAGGAATGCACCCCAGCAGCACAGGCCCCGAAGCACAGAGCAGCTGCCCCCACACCTCTGTGCTGTGACTGCCACCTCACTGCTGCTAGGCAAGATAATTGGTGGCGCTGGAACGTGGCCAAGATTCGGCCGGATGCAGAGCAGGCGTCTAAATCAGGGTGTTGGTGCCAGCATCTGAGCTCTGACCATGGGGCAGGAGACAAGGTCATCACGAGGCTCAGCATGACCTCAGAGGTCAGGACACCTCTGTCTGTGTCCCGGCTCCCACTTGCTTAGCTTCCATGCCAATTTTATACCAACTCTGCCTACAGACCATGCTCTTGCTAGGGCAGCAGCCAGAAGGTGGTAGGTGACACGTGAATCCTGTAAGGTATGCAGGTGGCGACTGCACACCACCCACAGGTTGGATGGTGACAGTCACAACTATATTTAGGGAAATAGATTAGCACAGCCCTCTGTGGGTACTGCAAGTACTGGCACACGGGCTCTTTGCATTGTGCCAGGGAGCCTATTAGCAATGTAGAACTTGTTCCATGCCAATTAGAAACACAATCACATTTAACTTTAGCCAGGGAGAGAACAGAATCTGATATTTAGAAGGAAAGAAAGACTACACCCCGGTAATCTACCAAACGATTGATTTAATCCAACAACCAGTATGATGTCTGTGCCTTTTGCTGGGGGAGGTCACCCTCACCACCCACCTTCAGTCACTGAATTGTCATCATGGAAGCCCAGCGCAGCCCTAGTCCTGAGGCTGAGAGTGTGCCCCTGCTCAGGGAGGGATCTCTCCCTTGGGTGGAAGGTCTTAAGTGGAGAAGGCAGCTCATTTTACAAAGGATGCCAAGATGCCATCTGGCCCAGCCCTGTTCACAGAGGGCCTTAAACTTAGAATTTTGAAATTATCTGCAAAAGAAATTATATATACAGTCACAGAGATACCTGGACAAGAGTAAAGGAAAATGACATTAAAGATAAAACTTATACCAGCGTTGTCAACCCTATGACACTGCTTGGAGTGTATTAAAACAATAGCAGCAATAATAATAATGACTAACACTTGTTAGTGCATACTATTCTAAGAGTCTAGGCACTCTTCCAAGACTTGCATTCAATCCTCACAAAATATCTATGAGGAAGTACTATTGTGCCCATTTTACAGATTGGAAACTGAGGTATGGAAAGACCAAATAGCATGCCCAAGTCACGCAGCTAATAAGTGCTGGGCAGAATTTGAACTCAGGCTGCCTGGGCTCCAGGCTTCCCATGTTAACCACTATGGATGAAAGAATAGTCTTTTAAAATAAATCACATTGTGGTGGTACTAGTTAAAAGCATTCACCTAGTTAAAAGCATTAGCATGGAAACATTTGACATTTCACCATTTTTTAGTATCTCAGGAGTATCTAAAAGGCTTTGGGTCAGGCTAGCAACAGCCTTTCTTCTTCACAAGGATTGCTCTTACTCTAGAGCAAAGTAATACAAGTTCTGCTGGGGACCCTGGGACCTCATGAATGAGCCCCCTCTGTGCTGAAGAGTCACTCTGTATTTGGCCATGTCAGGTCCTCAATTCAAGGCTCTCAAATTGAGGAATCAGTGAGCTTCTCTGTTCCTAAGGACTGGTGATGCCAGGGTCCCCTGAGGGCTCTGGCCATACCCCAGCCCCTCCAATAGAATGGCAGCATCCGGGGGTAGTGCCAGGCACCCCAGCCAAGGTGCTGGGAGCTGTTGCCCAATGTGAGCTCTAACCTAGAAAATGAAAAGGTGGCTCTTAAGAGCTGGCAGTTGAATTGGAAAATCTATTAGAAATAGGATCCCAAGTATGCTAGGGGGTAACATTGTGTACAATTAGTATTTGATATATGGACAGTAAGATTTCCTCACTCAGAACACACCCACTAACCTGCCTGGGAAGGCACTGTGCTAGGCCCATGGAAACAGAGATGAAAGATACACACACGAGTCCAGATGGGGGTAACAGACTCACAGACGATCACTCCAGCAGGATGTGGTTGGTAAAGTAGGTCATGGCACAGATGAAGGCTGGGAGAGCCTGGAGGAGGGAGTTTTTCACTTTGGAGAGGGAATTTGTAGAAGGCTGCATCACAGGAGCTGACATTTGCAGGCAGCTTTTAAGCATGAGCAAGCGTTGACGTCGCCGAGCAGAGAGAGCTGGGAGAAGAGCGAAGGGACTGCAGGAGCACAGGAGTGAAAGCGAGGTCCCAAGAGCCATCCAACCTATGACCATCCTCTGCCTTGGAGCAAACTTGCCTGTTCATTCATTGATTGAATGAATATTTACTGAGCCCCGTCTATGTGACTCACAATGCTTGACAATTTGGGGGACTAGCTGGAAATCTTTCTTAATAAATGTTCCAGAAAGATGGAGCTAGGTGTTTCTCAAGTAACTCTTCTAATGCATGTATATCTTCTAAAACTGAAGTCGGCAGGGGCCACAGGACAAATACAGAGTCATCACACACACACACACACACACACACACACGCACATGCACACACACACATGCACACACATGCACACACACGCATGCACACACATGCACACACTCACACCCCCACCTCTCCTTGAGGATGGGGACTACAGAGGACTTTTAGAGCATTTCCACCTTGGAGCTTGACTCTCTTCTCGCTCTGACACCTTGGATTATATCTCTAGGGTTGGCATCCTTCTGGAGGGCTGTTAGCAACAGATTGCACTCCCAGCAGGGCCTTGGGACACGCCTGTCCCCATTACAGTGGCTACGATCAGAGACAGATCCCAACATGGGCAAGCATGGCGAGGTTGTCACGCCATCTTCAGGGACATTGAGTGTCAATCTGGCTCTTTGTTCTTTATCTCTTCATTGCCCTCAAATACTTGAGAAAGATATCTGCTTGCATTTGAGTATCTGGTCTCTATTCTGGAGATTAAAGAATTCTGCATTTCAAATTGGCCTCCTTTTATTTACATTTTTAATGTGCATATTCTTAGAATACTCATCTCTCCTAGTGTCTGACTAACTCCTAGCCGCCCTGAGAATCTCAGTGCAAGCCTCACTTCCTCCAGGAAGCCTTCATGGCACCACCACTGTGCTCCAGTCAGAATTAGGTGCTGCTAACGTGGTCCCATCACTCTCTGGACTTCTAGAATATGCAGCCCTTATCAAACACATTTTAACTGCGATTTTACATATCTGGCTCCTGATACCAAAGTATAATTCTGCAAGGGTGAGACTGTTTCTCTGACTCATTGTTATATCCCAACCTCCTAAAACAATGTAAGGTACATATTAGGTGGTCAGTAATTATTTGCTAAATCAATTGATTTATTGTTTAGTCAATGCTAATGCTTTAAATGACTACACATTGACAATAAATAATATAGTTACATCAAAATGGAGTGCATTCTGTTTTCTAGCCTATTCATATTTCTTTAGCAAGTCTTAGGGTAGGAAAATATAGGTATCTCAGTCCTTCGGAAGGGCTTCTTAGAAATCCCAAATTTAGAACATGCACAATTTAGGAGTTTAAATTAAGAATTGCTACAATCCCTGATCTCTACTTCCCACCGCTGAGGAAACTTTAAATCAGACTTCCAACAACATATGACAAAATCTGTGTCCCTACTTGCTTCCTTATTTCTCCCTTCAAAAACTCATATCACATGGCTCATTTTCATTTTCCCCCCATTCAGGAAATGTTATATAAACCTTGCTACTGTGGCTGCTGAGGTCTGTCAGAAAAGTCAGGGTCAGGGGAGGGAGATAAAAAATTAGAGTATCATGAATCAGTAGAGTATATTACTAGATCTTCAACCCACCACATTTAGGCTAACCTTGATGAGGATATGTCTTCTTTTTCCTTATTTTGAAGCCATACTTCAACTTTAAAGATTGATACACCTTTAATTAATTGTTAGTTATCATTTCAAACAATAAGCAAAAAGCTCAGTCTACATACTTCTCTAATTGTTGAAGTTTTCTCCTTAAGTGCAAATAAAAAGCTCTCAAATCTTTGGGAGCAAGCGTACGAATGGGAGCTCTCGAGGGAATCATAAAAATGCATAATTTATAATTCTCATAATCAGGCTGTTTTCATGGGACTCTTTCTGTCTTGATGTTGGCTAAAGCCAGCCAAGCAAAATTTCCAAAGGACATGGCTAGCCTAGTTTTATTACCCTATCCCTCACATACCTCTAAGCTGTAAAAGAATTGCAGTTAAGGTAAAATTGGAAATTGAAGTGTTTCTTTAAAAAAAAGAAAGTTTAATACCTTAACTTTGCAACAAAGAAAAAAAAAAGAAAAAAAAGAAAAAAAAAAAAAAAAAAGAAAGTTGTTGAAGACTTAGGGTACTTTTCTTCCCCATCCTTGTAGGAAGAAAGGAATGTATTCCTGTCATTTCAAGCCAAACAAGAGGGCTTTTCAAGAACTCCACTTGGAAAGCCTGACATGTGTTCATAGAATCTGCACAACACAGTGGACTAATCCGACACATGCTGGAAAAGCAGAAAGGCAACAGCCAGTTGCCAGAGCAACTGAACGGAAGAGTGGCCAAGTTCAGACTGACCGATATTCCCAGTATTGTTGGGACAAAGGATACGTGAGTGTTCCCTGAGAACCAGATAAACACTCAGGAGAGAGAGCTGCCTAGTGGAGTGTTCTGTCCCCAAGCCAGGGATGAACTCTGGATTCCTGGGGGCTGGAGGAGAAAACATAAACAGCCACAGAGAGGGTGTGTCGGAGGCATGACACAGGCAGTCCAGGCGAATGTTCCCAGTGTAGGTCTCCAAAGATCCCACAGGTGCACCCCCCAAAAAAAGTTCTGCTTTGAAATGTCCCCCACACCCAGAGTCATAACCAGCAGGAACCATCGCCAGATGACAGTGGTGCCAGTCAAGAAGGGCCTTTCCTGTCCCTGACCTGTCCTCCTCACCCCCTCTCCCAGTGAGGGGCTGGGTCCATGAAGAAAGTAGCAGGCGTCAGGGGATGCATGGACCAAGGTGAGGAAATCAAGAGGAAGCCAACCACGCCCTGCTCCCACCAAGGCTCCCAGGCCTGCTGCAGGCCAGACCTTTAGAGAGAATCTTAAATGAAATCCAGAGTTTTGACTTCCAACTATGAATGGACACTTTTACTATTGAAATGAGATCATCTTTATGACAACAAGTAACTGGAAGACGTTTAATTATGTATAGGTGACTAGAAACATCAGGGGACCTGCCCTAGACATACCCAGAGGGGAGAGGGGAAAACTAGTTTCACAAAGGAGTTTCAAGCAGGTGGTGGAGAAAAGAATGAAGTTGTTTTCTCCTTCTACCCTCCAAGGTTCTGCTCTTACACTGTAATGTTTACCTAGTTTCTCCTGGAATTCTCAAAATTCTGCTAGCCCAGCAGGGTGAAAGACATCATCAGCACGGTGGCTGGCTGAGCTCAAATCCCATTTCTGCATTTACAGGTTTGTAGAAAAGGAGGCAGGATGCTTATCCTCTATGTACCTTGCTCGATTCACTTACCTGTAAGATGAGGATAGTCACAGGTCCTATCTCATGGAGCTGTTGTGAAGACTCAATAGCCACAAAGAGCGTGGCATCTGGCATGTAGTAAGTGCTCAATCAGTGATGGCCATCACCATCTTCCTCATTATTATAGACCTTGACTTTGATCAAAGATTCACTCATTAACCTCTAAAGAAAAAAAGAAGCTAGTAAGCATTTAGAATCTTGCTCCATCCACAGCAGGACTAGATGTGAGTCCCTCACAGGGCAACAGCATCCACTTTTCCAGATTTCTCTCTCCAGGACCCAGTTCAATGCCTGCTCATCGTCATTGCCAAGAAAGGATTGTTGAGCAAATGAGTAAAGGCGTGAGTGGATGAATGCCTACACTGCCTGTGCTCTGGCCACCTAGATCTTGTTGCTCTGGGGCCAGGTGAGTGGTAAGAACCGCTCATCTTTCCTTCCCCTCAAGGGAAAGGCCTCCTGCTTCTACTGGGGTTCTTCAGAAACCTGCATGAATCCCTCACTCCAAACTCTGACAGCTGAAAGAGGATTGTCCTAAGTAGTCAATATCAACCTTAACAGGCATCAGAATTATCTGCAGTGCTTTTCAAAAGACAGATTGCTGGGTCCACCTTAGAGTTGCTGGTCTAATAAGTCTGGTTTAGTAGGCTAAGAATTTGCATTTCTTAACAACTTCCAGGTCCTAGAACCATGCATTAATAAATGCTGTTCAAAAGCATGGCTTTTATTGCATCACCCACTGTTTACAAATCTCAGAGAGTTCCCTTGAAAAGTCCATGAACTAAAGCAACTAAATAAAGTTCACATTCCTTAGTGTCAGGCCCTTCCAACATACCCAGTCCAACTTCCTGGCCTTATTTCCTGCCGCTCCCCTCCATTCTCTAACCACATTGAGCTGCTCTCCCTTTATGGTTTTTGTTTGTTTGATTTTTGTTTGGCTTTGTTTGAGACAGGGTCTAGCTCTCTCACTCCGGCTACACTAGAGTGTAGTGTCATCATGATAGCTCACAGCAACCTCAAACTCTGGGCTCAAGCAATTCTCCTGCCTCAGCCTCCCTAGTAGCTGTGACTATAGGCATGCACCACCAAGGCCAGCTAATTTTTCTATTTTTTTGTAGAGATGGGGGTCTTGCTCTTGCTCAGGCTGGTCTTGAACTCCTGACCTCAAGCTATCCTCCCACCTCAGCCTCCCAAAGTGCTAGGATTATAGGCATGAGCCATCGCACCCAGCCTGCTCTCCCTGTTCTGGACACTCTTCTTCAGTCTGGAATGCCCTTCTCTCCTTCCCTGATGATGAAGTCCTACTCATTCTTGAAGATCTGATCCAAATGCCATCCTCTGGGTCACTTTCCCTGAGTCCCTGTGGGCATACTATGTGGCCACAGCACCCTGTACAGAATCTTACATTACTAGACTGTCTTTGCCCCTCCAGCCATGACCATGCATTACTGCTATTTGATGCTCCAGGCTCAGCACAACTGCCCTATGTGCTTGCCAAAAGGAGCAGTTTAGTATACACATGATGAGTAAGTGAATTCCAGACTGTGGTTGCCCCGTTGATATCTGTGGCCTGTTGCACAAATATTTTCTGTATTAATCAGCAATTGCTATAACAATGATGCATACCAAAACACACACACACATACCATCATCTCCAACAACAAACATTTATTTTTCTCACTTAGCTAGGGCGGCTCTGCTTCAGGTAGCAATTTGGCTGGTCCTTGGCTCCAGGTTACAGGCTGGACTCAGATTTGCTCTACACATTTCCCTATTCTGGGACCAGGAGACATGTAGGACATGTTCTTCTCATGGTGGATCACAGGAGCACAAGAGACCTAGCCAAATCACGCATGCACATTTGTAGACTCTGCACGGATCATATCCGCTAACATTCCATTGGCCAAAGAAAGTCATATAGCCAAGACCAACATCAACAGAGTGGAGAATATAGTCTAGCTCTTGCACAGTGTCAATGACGACACATAGCAAAGTATATGGAGGTATAATATTATACCAGGAAGCCAATCACAAATTGGGAAGGAAACACTGGGAATAATAATCCAACCTACCAAACATACCATTTCCCATCTTGGGGTCCTCACTCATTTTTGTTTATTCTGTTTAGATAACACCATAGAATCCTGACACCAAGTTAGCTAGCAACAAACTATTGCTCACCTTGGATATTGGCGAGGCTATCTCTGGACCTCCATTTCTGTGTCCACAAAACAGATCACTTTCTTAAGAAAGGTAATGGAAATAACTTACCTTTTCTGTTTCAGATCAAAAGATCAAATACCACTGATTTTCTGGTTCCTAGATATTTCTACTACTTTTCTTAAGAAAATAATTGCCACTGATTTTTTTTGTTTTTCGGTTGTTTTGTTTTGTTTTGAGACAGGGTCTCACTCTGTCACCCAAGCTAGAGTGCAGTGGCCTGATCATAGTTCACTGTAGCCTCAAACTCCTGGGCTCAAGTGATCCTGCCTCAGCCTCCTAAAGTGCTAGATTATAGGCATGGGCCACAGGGCCTGGCCTTGTCACTGGTTATTCTGAAAGTTATTTTTTTTTTTTTTTAGTTTGACTTGTGTTTATCTGCATCATGTTTAAGATGTAGCTAATTATTTTGAAATCTCACTTGAACTTCAGCCATGCCTAATGTTGTTTAAGTACTTAAAAAGTCATCTAAAATAATAGATTATCCAAAATAACATTCTGTGTTGTCGTTTAAGGGTAATTCTAGTTTGTCTGGTGATTTATAGACTGTGGGATAGTCAGGCCCAGTTGCAAGTGTACATTAGGATGGCAGAAAGAACTAAGAAATCAAAGGCCTCAGACGGCCACATGTCCTTCTCCCTAGAGCCAGGGAGGGAAAATTCTCCTGTGATGGTACTACATATAGAGCTTGTATCCTCTGAAAATAGGAACATGTTGTTTATGGTTTTTAATGGAGTGCTGGAGATTCAATCTGGGGCAGAGGGCACTGTGACCTGTTCTCTGATTGGTATGTCAACACAGACCTACCAACTTCCCAGGTTGGTAACAGAGCCAGTGAACTTATTCTTGTCTCACTGCTTCGTCCTTGAACTTTGTCTACAATATGGCTGGGGCTGGAAACAGAGAAGGGCTGGACTCAGCCCTTGTATTTTTTAAATTGTCATTTGCAAAGTCACTTTATCCATTAATGGAAGCCCCAATTGTTAAAGAAATACCATTCCACCTTGTGATGAAAACACAATTTCCATTCTTCTTGTACAAAATGTTACAGGCCATGAAATTTCTCTTTATCAGTCCAACTGATAAAGAGAAATTATTCATAATGGTACCCTTCTTGAACTTGAGGCTTTATGCATTATAATTTCACCTTTGCCTGATCCAAAAGCTGCCGAGCAGTCCTGCCCAAACCAGCAGATGGGGGACCAGTGGGGCTCTCAGATTATTTCCATAGAGGTGGGAGAAAAGGCAGCCAGCCCCTTCCCACCCCCTACACACCCACCCGCATGTTCTATTGCTAAGGGTTACATCACACTATAGATCTGCTCCAGGACAGGGCAAGGACCTCTAAAAGTTGGCCGTGTCCTTTTTCTGTGGTTGTTCAGATATGCAGCAGCACGTAGCACACTTCTAATGGGTAAACCTCTCCTCTCCCCCTACTCAGCCTCCCACCTGCTTTTAGAGACTAGCCAAGAATTCATCCAATATCCACACAGATTTCCAAAGAAAAGGAGGCAGATTCTATGCCAAAGCAGACAGCACATGACAAAGTCAAATGATCCCAGGAGTTAGGAGATGGGGTTCTGGCCCTACCACAGACTGGTGGCCTTGGGCAAGCCCCCTCACCCTGCTGCACCTCCATTCCCTTTTTTTTTTTTTTTTTTGAGACAGTCTCACTTTGTTGCCCCAGGCTAGAGTGAGTGCCGTGGCGTCAGCCTGGCTCACAGCAACCTCAATCTCCTGGGCTCAGCGATCCTACTGCCTCAGCCTCCCGAGTAGCTGGGACTACAGGCATGTGCCACCATGCCCGGCTAATTTTTTTTTTTGTATATATATTTTTAGTTGGTCAATTAATTTCTTTCTATTTTTGGTAGAGACGGGGTCTCGCTCAGGCTGGTTTCGAACTCCTGACCTTGAGCAATCCGCCCGCCTCGGCCTCCCAAAGTGCTAGGATTACAGGCGTGAGCCACCGCGCCCGGCCTCCATTCCCTTTTTGATCTTTTCCTCTATTTCGGCCCATAGTTTGACTCCTTCGTAACTTAACATCATTTGTAAATATTTATCAGTTTTTATTTATACTTGCTCTTAATCTGTGCTCTCCACTAGAATGCAAGCTCCTTTAGGCCATCAGAATACCCCATTGTATACCCACACCTGGCACATTGTCAGCGCTCAATAAATATTCATTTAAACTAATGAATGAATAAATGAATAAATGTTATCAAATGTTATCTAGCTTTAATATTCTATAACTTTTCAGCTGGTCAAAGAAAAAACAAAAACAAGTGACATGTATATGAAAGAAAGATTAGTTCTCTTCTGTAGCTGCCAGGGAAGAAACGGGGCAATGGATCATTAAGTGAAAATCTCGCATTCATCAGCCCCTCCTTATAGCATATTTAGCATCATAAAGGACAATATCTTGTTTTTTATATTTATGTTTTAAGCATGATCCAGGTAATTCTTGTGAGCACAGAAACTGGAAAGTCTTTCTCATCTTTCCAGCACTTTCTCATCTTTCTCTCATTTCTTACCTATTCTGATAAATCATTTTAGTCAACACTTAGGGGCTGGGTGCAGGGGCTCACGCCTGTAATCCTAGCACTCTGGGAGGCTGAGGCAGGAAGATCCCTCGAGCTAAGGAGTTTGAGACCAGCCTGAGCAAGAGCCAGACCCCACCTCTACTAAAATAGAAAAAAATTATCTGGGCATGGTGGTGCATGTCTATAGTCCCAGCTACTCAGGAGGCTGAGGCAAGAGGATCCCTTGAGCCCAGGAGTTTGAGGTTGCTGTGAGCTAAGCTGATGCCATGGCACTGCAGCACAGGCAGCAGAGCAAGACTGTCACAGGGAAAACAAAAACAAAAACAAAAAACAACACTTAGGTACATTGCCTAGCCTACTCACCAAATCTAGGCTAGTTTCTCCACTTCCAACATCCATTTGTTCCTTGGAATTTTTGTATTATTTCTGCCCAGTCTTGCCATCAACCCTGGAGAACTTAAGATCAAATTGAAGTCTAAAAGTATAAAATACTTAATATAGCCCTACACACTAGAGTCATTTAATTCTAGTTAGCAGAAACCATCTAGGCAGAGTCACTATAAATGACTGCCATTAGCCACTGTTTTTCAATACAATATTCAATTAAGATTGTGCTGATGGTTGGTGGATGGCCCTGGTCTCTACCCTCACCCCACTCCACAGCCATCCAAATGCATCCCGTCGGGCCATCCCAAGCTAGTGGGCAAATCACAGATCATTGCAGCTTATTCCCTTCCCTGCTCTCCCCCAACACACACACACACACACACACACACACACACACTTACTTGCAGTTCATAGTTGCTCCTGACACAGAAGTGGAGATCAGGGTCTCCTTGAAGTGTCTCCTCCAGAAAGATATACGTTTGATCCTCTGTTCTTGCCTTCTGAGAACTTCTGGCCAGAGCAAATACATCTATGCAATATCAAATGTTTATGGCAAAAGTTAGGCGAAATCCTGATGTTTCTGTCTAGAGCTTTGCCCCATGTGGTCAAACCGCCATCTTTCCCGGCTTATCTCCCATCTTCCTTTATTCTCCCTTCACTCTGATCAGATCACACTGTGCCTCGTTCCTCCTACAACCCCGGTGCTTTCCCAAATACTTGCCTTATGAATACTCAGCCCTGAAGGCTCAACTGGCCTGTTGCCTCCTCCATGAAACTGTCCTAGATCACCCCAGTTGGAAGTAATCTAAACTCCCATGGGACTCTTGCTTCTCTTACAGGACTTCTCTTTTTCTGCCTTAGCTTACAATTATTGACAAAGTATTTTGTCTCTTATATCAACAATAAGTGACTTGTATACAGAGACCATCCTTTCGTCTTTGTATCTCACAGAGTGGTCAGTATTATTGCTTGGTTGAATAAACAAACTTCTCTCGCTTGTGACATGAGACATCTGTTCTACATTTGGAGCTCAATACATGTTATTAATAATAGATAACTTCTTTTTTGAGACAGAGTCTCACTCTGTTGCCCCAGCAATAGTTCAGTGGTGTTATCATAGCTCACTGCAACCCCAAACCTTGGACTCCTGATCTCAAGTGATCCTTCTGCCTCAGCCTCCCAGAGTGCTAGGATTACAGGTGTGAGCCACCGCACCTGGCCCTAGATAACTTTCTATTACCCCTTTTGGACTCTAGCATCAGCAGGGAGCTGGAAAACTAGTCAATGAACTAAAGCAGGACATAGAATTTTTGCCTCAGTGTACATTCGGGTGCCTAGGCCTTAATCCATGTATGTCAGGAATATTAATTCCACACTGAGCTAAGTAATAAATGAAAGCTACAAGTAGAGGACGTCGCACCTCCTACTGGAGGAAGCTTGGACATGCAAGTACTGACAGATGTCTTTACTCTAAAAGGTAAGGGTACAGCTCCTTTTTGTTCTTGTTTGGGTGACTCTGTTTGAGTAATTACACATGAGTTCAGGATACAGTGAGTGAACATCTACAGGACAAAACACAGGTGGGATAGATCCAAGGGCCTGGTTAAGCCTGGAAAAATATAGATAACCCAAGATACTCCATGAATGTATGACCAGACCTGAGAGCTAAAAATATAGTCAAGAGAGGAGTATTCTGCATTGGGATTAGGAAAGATAGGAACATTCACAGAACTAAGGGTCAGACACAAAGACACAATAGTGAAAAAAGCAGTAAAGTTGTTGATCTTGGGAGTCACAAGCAAACAGAGAAAAAAGTAAGGTATGAGCCAGGCATGGTGGCTCACACCTGTAATCCTAGCACTTTGGGAGACTGAGAAGGGAAAATAGCTTGAGGCCAGGAGTTCAAGACCAGCCTGTGCAAAATAGCAAGACCCCCATCTCTACCAAAAATACAAAAATTAGCTGGGCGTGATGGTGTGTGCCTGTAGGCCCAGCTACTCAGGAGGCTGAGGCAGGAGGATGGTTTGATCCCAGGACTTTGAGGTTGCAGTTAGTTATGATGACACCTCTGCACTCCAGCCTGGGAAACAAAGCAAGATCTGTCCCAATAAAAAAAAAAAGAAGAGGAAGAAGTAAGGTATGGATCAATCAGGTAATTTTGGAAAAGTAAGTGCTTAGGGCAGAAAGTGAGGTACAACTCAAGACCTCCAAGATTTCATTCACCAAGCAGTTTAGTATAGTCAATGAAACTTTTGTTTCCACACTCCATTTAGCACTTCAAGAAGCCAAAGACATAAATTTACTTATTTACAAGTGTCTAAATAAAAAAATTATTTAGAGATATATAGAATATTTGATTTTTAAAAGGTGCACATTATTCCTGGTTATTATAAAGGTACCACTTCTTCGCTCACTTGCAATCAAAATCCAATTGAAAATATTTTTTCTTTTAGACAGAGTCTCACTCTGTTGACCAGGCTAGAGTGAGTGGCACCATCACAACTCACTGCAGCCTCGAATTCCTGGGCTCGAGTGATCCTCCCACCATAGCCTCCCACGTAGCTAGGACTATAGGTGTGCCACCATCCCCAGCTAATTTTTAACATTTTTTTTGTAGAGTCAGGGTCTTACTATGTTGTCCAGGCTGGTTTTGAATTCCTGGCCTCAAGTGATCCTCTGGCCTCAGTCTCTCAGAGTGCTGGGATTATAGTCAGGAGCCACCATGCCTAGCCTGCTTTAAAATTTTTAAGATGGAAGTGTTTAGAGAATATCTTGCCCTATTAGCCTGAAAACAATTATAAGGCTAACATAATCAAGTCAATGTGGTCCTTGCACAGGAATTATCATAGATCAATTAAACAAAGTAAATAATTTAGCAATACAGACCAATATCTAAAAGAATTTAATATGTAATAAAGAAAGCATTGCCTACAGAAACAAAGCTTTGTTAAAAAGAAATAATTTAATTTTAAAATTAAAAATAAAAAATTTTTAAAATTTTAAAAAAAAAGAAAGCATTGCCAACAAGTGGGAATAAATTAGTTATTAAACCCATGGCAGACAAGAAATTAACTATTTGGGAAAAAGTCAGCTTAGAACCTCACCTCATACACAGATAAATTCTATATGGACCACAAAGAAAAATGTAGAAATCCAAATAAGAAAACATAGGTTACTGGCTTGGAAATGATTTTCTGAACATAACAATGGGGAAGAAAACATAAAGACTTGAATGTAAGGCATGAAACTATGAAACTACTAGAAGAAAATACAGAGAAAATGCTTCAGGAAATTGGACTAGGCAAGAGTTTTTTGAATAACACCTCAAAAGCACAGGCAACAAAAGCAAAAATGGACAAATAAGTTTATATCAAACTAAAAGTTTCTGCAGCAAAGAAAGCAATCAATAAAGTGAAGAGACAACCTACAAAATAGGAGAAAGTATTTCCAAACTATGCATCTGACAAGGGGTTAATATCCAGAATATATATGGTACTTGAACAACTCAATTGCAAAAAAAACCCCAAGTAATCCAGGGGACAGGGGGAAATGGGCATTTATTGAAACCTTAATATGCATTTATTGCATATTAAATGGGCATTTATTGAAACCTGTACCCCCATAATATGCTGAAATTAAAAAAAAATAGTCAAAAAAAAATCCAATTTAAAAATGGGCAAAAAACCTGAAAAGACTTTACTCAAAAGAAGACATACAAATAGCCAACAAATGTTATAAAATGTTCAACATCACAAATCATCAGAGAAATGCAAATCAATACCCCAATGAGATATCACCTCACCCCAGTTAGAATAGCTATTATCAAAAAGACAAAAAATATAATCCAGTGATACATCTTATGGCAAGGATGTGAAGAAAAGGGAGCTCTCACATACATTTGGTGGGAATATAAATGGGTATAGCCATTATGGAAAACATTATGGAGTTTCCTCAAAAAATTAAAAATACAAGATGGTCTAGGTGAAGTTTAAAAAAAAAAAAGAAAGAAAGAAAATAGATAAAAATAGAACTACTGGTACCATACAATCCAGCAATCCCATTACTGTGTATATATATCCAAAGAAAATGAAATCAGTATGTCCAAGAGAGATCTGCACACCCATGTTTATTGCAGTGCTACTCACAATAGCCACGATACGGAATCAACTTAGATGCCATCTATGGACAAATGGATAAAGGAAATGTGGTATGTGTATGTGTATGTGACTATTTATATACACACACACATGCACACACATATATATACTGTGTGTATATATGTAGTGTGTGTATTATATGTTGTGTGTGTGTGTATATATATGCAAATCAAAATAATAACAAAATATTCTTGAACAGTCATATTTTTCAAATAATAAATTACTGGCAAAGCATTTAATAAGAGAAGTGCTCTCATCTTCTACTGGCAAGAATATACAACCTTTCTGGTCAGAAATCTGGAGCCATGTGGCAAGAGCATTAAAACTGTGTGCATCCCGCTGGGAACAGGCGCCTTTGACATCCCAGATGCTCCAAGCAGGCTGGGCAAGGTGTCTTGCCATCCCTGAGCCGTCCAGGGGCAGAACGGGGAAGCGTGACATGCCCCACAGCTACAGCACAGCCCACAGCCTGACGCTGCAGAACCACAGGGCCCTCGGGGGCACCCGGAGAGAAAAAGGGTACACCGGGAGCTCAGCCCGGGCCTGCACTATCGCATGCCGTTCTGAGTTTCTGTGAGGGTGATTACGTCCAAGATGGCACAGGATGGTTCATTCCAATAAAGAGAAGGGTCCAGGGAGGGGTGTCAGCTGGGAGGTCTGGCTAGGTCAGCACAGCGCCAACAAGCATGGGCTGCCTCTGTTCAAATCCCAGCCCTGCCCCTCACTTAGCTGCATGACCCCTGGCAAGCTACTTAACCTATTTTGTGCTCTAGTTTTCTCACCTGTAAAATGGAGGCTAATACTACCACCCTTGGGGTATTAAATAGGAGAAGCCCTGTGGCAGCACAGATGAGAAATGCTTGGTAAGTGTTCCCTTATTAGTATCATCGTTCCCTCTCAGGTTCTGGAGGTTGAGGAGACCAGTCCCCGTCAGACACTGCCGAGCAGAGGCCATGAGCACTCCTGGGCTGCCATCACCCCTGGCTGTGAAGTGGTCTCCTTCTCCCACTCAGGAACCTCAGAGATAAAGCCTCTTGAAGCCCAGGGCCGTCAAGCTTTCCTAGTGCTGCAGGAATCCGGGCGAGCACCGTGGGCCCCAGGCCTTGGCTGAGGGCAGCCTAGGGCCCTCGTGGGAGCAGCGTTGGTGTGAGAACCTCCTTCCCCACCGGAAACCCAGGGCGCCTGCCAGCTCATCACAGAGAGGTTCTGTCAGGCCCTCGTAGAACCAAGCAGGGGATGGCTTAGCTCCAGGCCAAGTCGCAGGCCATGGGCCAGACCCAGCTACCTTGGGGCACCTGGATCACAGAGAAGCTCTGCCTAAGACCATGCCCTGTTTGCACTCTGCCAGGGGCAGGCCCGTGTGGGGGCGTGT